TTTTGTTGACATATAATATCATATGTGATAAAAATACTTCAATTAAATATGTTGCTATAACACACATAAAAATATCTATGCGAGTTCGGCTGCATGCTCGCGTTTAAGGTAGGCCGACAATTCATATGAAAAGAGTAGGTTTGAGAGAACTAGTGACTTAATAATGTATAGAGCTATTTTAAATAGTAACGTTTATAATGGTCCAAGTAAAATCGTTTACCGGACCGATAACTTTCCGATATATCGGCCTGTGAGGATGGTACACTGTATCATTACGGTACCAAACTGTTACCATTTTAAATCGAAGGGTTGTATCGATAAGTGATATTGTTTTATGTCATCGTACAAACATATCGAATCGATATACTTCGATACATCGGACACTATGCTCTTACTGTCAAAGCTGTTCAAACCGATATGGTTTTAAATAAAAACGTATGTATCGATATATTGATATTGATTGTATTATCGATTATCATTTTCGTCAATTCCGGTTTTATACTGGTCATTATAGGCCAAGGCTTTCTTATAACATGGATGTCATCACTAATATTTGCCATACTTTTGTATACAAATACGATGCTTATACCTTTATTTCACGTGCATACAGAACAAGATTCTCGTGCTTCACAACAATGTTTTAGTGTCGAGCCACATTTCTGCACTTGAGATGCGTTTTTTTCTCCAACGGTGTGCAATTACCTTAACACGATATGCTCTCTTTTCGCTGATTTATATCACAACTTTATATGATTGTTAACTGATAAAATGTAAGGCATCCAATACCTTCATACATTTGGGAATAAAGAGGCAGTTGTTGCAAGCAATCGAATAAAAAGCAAGTAAAAACCCTGTGATCTGTAAATTTCTTAAGGCCAGTCGTAAAATTAGGTGTGCATATTGCGAAAACATTTGCGTGTCTTGTGTGTGTGTGTATGTTTGTGTGTTATACAATTTGGGTTTTCATAAAGTATTCCTTTAATCTTTCAGAATTTCATTAACCCACCAGTAGCAATTACTTGTATTAGAATATAGGCCCGATATCGTTCTGTCTATGAGTATATGGATAAAAAATACCGGGATCTGCTAATAAGTAGCGATTTCTGCTTCATTGTACGAGTTCAATAAAAGAAATTCAAAGTAATTCATCTCGATGCAATATTTGCTCGAATTCCTCGTCACTATAGAATAAACAATTTACAGGATAATTGAGAATCAAAGTAAACTTCCATTCCAGGCACAAAATCAGCCCTTGGACCCACTACCTGGCCCATCCCTGCCAAGCCCGTCCCCATAACTTAATCAGTTGCAAGTTTAACATCTCCTCATCAACCTCTATTAACTCGCTCTAACTAGCGCACAATTTAATCGAAATATTTCTCTCCGTATTTAATTGAACCATTAAGTATTGCTGAGTCAATTATTTCATAATTTGTGACAGTCGAGATCTGAACATCTCAATTTTTTACATGCCATTTCGCACTCGGGCTTACAAATGTAAACGTTTTAAAGGTTTAATTTGAACAAGCTGTAAAGGAATGAGACATCAATATAAACATTATACTGCATGCTTCATAGTAAAGATATGAGCCGCGTCACGACAAAACCACCAACATAATGGGTTTGCGACCAGCATGGATCCAGACCAGCCTGCGCATCCGCGCAGTCTGATCAGGATCCATGCTGTTCGCTATCACTTTCTATACTTGTAATAGAGTTGGTAAGCGAACAGCATGGATCCTGATCAGACTGCGCGGATGCGCAGGCTGGTCTGGATCCATGCTGGTCGCACACGCACTATGTTGGTTTTGTCGTGACACGGCTCAAATAGTAAAGATATAACTTATTGAACGTTCCGCAGACGTCTACTCTCATTACATTTATATAAATCGCTTTATTGAATTATATTAAGTTTAGGCTAGATTGGGGCTTGATAAAAACAAAATTATTCGATTCGAGGGATCTATTTTCTTGCTTCAGCTATTGGCTGGGGTTCATTATAAAAGTAATGTATTGATGTAAAAAACATATAAATAACATTAAACTGGAAATGCATTCCAAGGGTAAAATTAATATATCGCTGTGTTGAGGTGTTAATAAAGATTCAAATGACAACGCTTTAACATTGTTAATCTGGAAAAAAACCCTGCTTTTTAATAACGTTACGAACGCTTTATGTTAAACCACGCAAGATTTGATTTATTGGCAGATTTTAACTGATGTAACAAAGTGATTAACTTCCGGTATCAGTCCTTTACGATTTAGTTTCAACGATAACTCTGTCTAAAAGTTCACCCGTAACCTGCTCAAAGCGACCACAATAGTTTTTGCAACACAAATTACCGGCCGGTCTCGCGAAAATCGAAAAAAAAAATTAAACAGCAAGCAGACGACAATATAGCAGACGACATTTTAGCAGACGACAATTATCACAGCATGCAAATGGTAAATATTGTTGAGAGCCGCACATATCAAAAAAGAAATTCCGTTTTATTGTATTAATAAAAATCAAAAGGAACCGTAGAAAATTTAATAATTTACACATTCAATAAACCACTAACGACTGGAGCATGTCAGCAAGGGCCACTGCAGGCACGTGCAGGCACGACATATTGTAATTAATGACACAGATAACGAAGAAAAAAACCTGACGAAATCTGCCACTGTTGTTTATCACCACGATATGATTTTGTAGAGAAAACACCATTAGATGATAGGAGACCGTGAGATGCAACCCGACACTAAATGGTAAAAGATCCACACTGGCGATTAAAATTTTAAAATTCACCTCCGTTTTTACTAGAGAACATGTGTTCGATATCATTTTTTGCTGATAGCGCAATGATATGTCCATGCAAAACAAAATAGTCCGATACGTTGATAAAACTAGTATCTATTCATCTACTTATACCAGTATATTAGTTCAAAAGTAGACTACTTAATTGCGAGCGCGCATATTTCCTGTATAATTATATGATGCTAATTTTCATGAAAAATTAGAAATTGTATTAAAAAATAATTCATAAAATAAACAAAGAAAGTAATTTACACATTGCAAACAACACGTTCATTTCACGTAGAAATACGGGGACAATACTGCAAAAGCAGTCATTCATTGCATATAATAATTATGTAAATGATCACTTGAATTTTTTTTTAAACTTTGTTCATTTTTTCTCAAAACTGAAAACGTATACATGTGTCACAGACACTACGGAAAGCGTCACTTGCAAAATCAGTAAGATAACTCATATACCAGTATATGAAGATGAATTGATACTAACATTAATTTGAGGCGAAAATGAGGAAGCATGCGCCTATTTCGTATATGATACCAAAAAGAACCAATAGCCCTTACCTAATGTCAGGCAAATAGGAACAGTACATATTTATGCCCGTTTTTTTGTTTGCGATTTTTCAACTGATATAGGACCGATATTGGGCTGGGTCCTAATAGTATTTGCGATTTCTAAGTCCTTATAACACCAATATTAGAATTGGCAATAAAATAATTGTACATTTGATGTATTGACGATTTTCATATCTAAACAGGGCTGATATTGACTGGAATATTATATATTTGCTATTTTTATATATTCACGTTTTTGTAATTTTGAAAACCCATATTGAACCAAAATTTACATCAACATTATACATGTCGATCAGTCAATGATACCAGCATGCTGGTGATTTATGGTGTTTGTGTGTACACGGTGGAGCATGAGCACAAGTTTACGCCATGTTCATCAAACCGATCGGCGACAAATTTTATTGCAGTTCAAATATTAATTAAATACTGTTGATAGTTGACAACTCTAAGTTGATCAGTGCTCGTAATTTGAGCCGCGCCACGACAAAACCAACATAATGGGTTTGCGACTAGCATGGATCCAGACGAGTCTGCGCATCCGCACAGTCTGATCAGGATCAATGCTGTTCGCTTACAAACCCTATAGAAACCCTATAGAAACTGATAGCGAACAGCATGGATCCTGATCTGGATCCATGGCTGGTCTGGATCCATGCTGGTCGCAAACTCATTATGTTGGTTTTGTCGTGACGCGGCTCAAGTTTTGTTTCATGCAGTCTCAACGTGTTACGTATGATGATATTTTAATATCCTGGGTTTATTATGAATAGACTAACTTGATAATTACCCAGCTTATTTATTTATATTAGCTGTGAATCAACCGTAATGCTGTACAATTAATCAAACATCCTTACTACATGTATATTAATATTATGTTGTTTTTGCTTCTGTTGTTGTTATTTTGTCCTGTTGTGTGTGCGTGTTGTTTGTTTTGTTATTATCTTTATAATTGTGTTGCTTTTTTGCAGTTTTGTTTGTTTGTTTGTGTGTTTGTTTGTTTGTTTATTCAATGTTACATTTGGGTGCCCAGGAAACACATTACTTTTAACCCTCTGCCACCCCCTCACTCCCTATATTGTTGAAAAAAATTGCATCGGATATAAGTTCTTATACATCGACTAGATGACCACTTTTATTCAGTAATGAATTTATAAAACAACGTAGTTTGTAGTGATATTTTTCGTCTGCTTAAAGGGTAATTGTTACTTCTCGGACCTTTCCGTTATGCTTAATGATAATTGTCGAGGTGTCCCAATTGACTAAACGCACTGAGGGGTTCCAAATGTTCATTCCAAATGTACATGCAGATTTATACCTCACGGTCGTATGAAAGTAATGTAAAATAGCTATAATAATGATATTTAATTGTGTTTTCTATAGATATAATAGTGAATTTTCTTCTACAATTGATACATCAGTCGAGAAATTTGAAAAAAAGAAGATTGTTTTTTTGTTGTTGTTGTTTTTTGGGGTTTCTGGTGGTGTTTTAGGCATGGGTTTAAAATACATGTATCTTTTTTTTGCTATTTGAAAATGATGTTAACTAATTTTGTTCCCTAGATGAGGCGGACAACTACAAGAGCTCGTATTATGATAGGCCTATTGTGGCTACTTTGTAACTATCGCTTACCTGACCAAGTAGGATAAGAAGTCCGAGATGAACGACATTGACACTTCTACCTAGTACATCTGTATGACGCATCTCCATCTTTAATTACTGAAATAGATAAATAATAACATAATTGCAAAAAGTGATCTTTTACTGCTAAATTTACTTGGCAAAAGGGCAAATCATCGATATTTTATTTAGCACAATCGTTTATCGAACAAACAGTATCATGATGTTGTTTTTGTTTCGTTTGTTTGTTGTAAACTTTGTTGTTTTATCAATATCATTTTTTGTGCAGATCACATAGAAGCAATATCACTTCCGGATCTACCATAAAATAACAAAAGTAATACAAAAGTGTTGTTGTTGTTGTCCCAGGGTATACGCTTTAAAAGAAAACCTCTTTGAAGTTGGAAACATTACCATACGCCTTTTAACTGTTTAAGTATTGCTTTACTTTTGATACCGATAAGCCTTTAATAGGCTTTTGTGTAACTGCGGATTAGCGTAATCCTAGTTGTTGAGAATGATTGATGAATATAGAACTATGATTTTTAAAAAAAATCAAACCTTTTCAACTTATTTTATAGTTTACCTGTAACTATTTTCGGAGAGCTTGCTGCTCTACAGAAACTTGCTTATGGAACCAGTATATTTTATTAAGTATGGCTATGGTAAGTATGTGCACCCGTGTAATTTGTCTTTGCGGCTACTCAAGTTTATTTTATACAAGTCATGTATATTTTTATACATGTACATTGTAATTATTATATATATCGACTTTCCAACAAGACCTCTAGTGCCACTTTGTGAATTATTTCATGAATCCTAACTTGAAAAACACGGGATTCGATCATTCGAACCATATAATGCCTCTAAAATAAAAGTGCCATTATGAACTGATTCAAATTAAAAGCAGGGAACGTCCTATTCACAAAATCAACAAAGAAAACATTTATTAAATGTTTTCAAATTTTATGCTTATTAAAAGATTTAGAAATCTCAGATATTGTTTCTGACCCTAAATGCTTCTTAAATATAGTTTACTTACTTAACTGGAATTCGTGGGAGGGGAAACAGAGGTATTATTCGGCTGAACTAAATGGGTTTGCTCTCGAAACTGTATGATATAATACAGGTTACTCAGTGGTTGTACTGGTGGATCAAAAAACATGTGACTTTTTAAAAATAAATTATTACACAAAGCGTACGAGTAGCTGAACTAAATGAGTCTCACTCACAAAAAGGACACACCACTTAATGAATTAAAGATTTTTATCACAGTATGTTTCTTTTCTTTTTTCCCCTTATAGCAACATTGAGTTATAAATAAATTAAAACATGACATTCGAGTACCATATATCGACCGCAATGTGCTCTTGCACTATACATTAAAGACAATCGGAAACTCGAATATAGCCTCTTACAAACCAACCGAAAATGCGAATATTTGGTCAAAATATCAGCCAGAAATAATAATATTTTGTATTCTATTATGTTCTGCCAGCACGTACTTTTAAGTTTTAACACTGAATTACAAATACAAATATGAGTTTTAATTATTTTTATAGTCAGGTAAAAGTACGTTTTTTGTGTTGTTCTTTAAATTATTAGTCAGTTTAGAATTACGAATACTCGCCGACTTTATGTATATACATGCATTACATCCCTGATAAAATTAATTAATAAAAAAAATCAGCACCATGATTGGTAAAATGACCGAAAAGAGCAAAACATGATAAATTTCTTGTCTAGACATATAAATAAATACTGAGTAAATGGTGGTTTTATTTGAAATACAAAACTGTTTACTCCTGCAAAAGATCGTGTTTGTGATTGATTGACTGTGCGAACATCTATTTATTAGATTATTATTAAAGCCATACAACATTTGTGTTTAATGGTACAACACCGAGTTGTTGTTGTTTTTGTTGTTGTTTTTACTTGCAGGACTGGAAATATTTTTCCAAGATGTGTATACCATTTCATGCAGGTCTGTGGAAATTTTCATTCGGAATTTATTCTGATTCTAGTACATCTCATCTTTTTTGTCAGTTTGCAGTTTGTTTTTCCATTAAAGTGCTTCACTTGAGCTAGGTTAGAATTTAAAATGATATATTTTAGGCTTTTTGGCCTAAGTGGATCTTCTATAACTTTCAAACCGTAACAAAAGATTATTAAACAGTTTTTTTAACATAGAAAGAAGTCTGTAAAGATTCAAACACATCTGATGGGAGGCTTGACATATATGAGAATCTGCAAGGTACCTTACCATATATAACAAGAAACTCACGTGACTTAAAGGCACATAATGCCTCAAACGAATAAATTGTTTCTTCTTTAAAAGGGCAAACACGAGTTCATAATGTTTAAATATGGTTATAAAGCATGTTAGATGCTTGTTACCTGAAAACAAGTAGCGCTTAATGTGAAATTTGTCATAAAAGTAACAAAATGTATGCGATGAAGTACCTTGACTTCCATAGAAAATACCAAATAACTGTACTAAATGCCAAACAAAGCAACAGAAGAAAAAGAAGGTTGAAATATTTGGCATATAAGTAAAATTTTTGAAACTTTAAAAGTACACCAACAATAAAAAGCTTTTTAGAAATTCAAATAAGAGCATTACTGGGACATAATGGGTCTTTAAATAATTTAGCTTTATATATGAAAATTTCAAAACAGTGACTAAAAGAGAACAAAAATGATGTTTGTATATGCGGAATGTTCTGAAAACAACGCGTACAATGAACATATGTAAAGGAGTGGACACTGGGCAATAAAAACCCATATTTTCATACAATGATATAGGTTTTATGACATCATTATTTCCCCGGTATATTACCCCTACTTAATACCTAAGTTATTGCCTACATAAACATGAGAAAAACGATTACTTCAGACAGAAAAAAACACATCTGAGCTGTAAATACATAAAATAAAAAATAGAGATGAAAAATAAACATCAAAAACCTATAATTAACGAACGGAATTTATATATTCTTAAAGCACTCACCTTTTTGTAGCGTTTTTCTTTCCCCTTCTTTCTTTAGCAAGCACTGATCTTTCAATCGTACACTCGAGTTTGTTTGCTCGATAGATTATCAGAATCTTAACTATCTAAAACAGTAATTAACATTTTTTATTTATTAACAAGAAATGTGGGATCAAACTTAGGTGTTCATCCCAACACAAAACGTTCTGGATAGCTTTCAAGAGGGTCTACTCTAAATATATATATTACCGATTTTCAGTGACAGAATTAAACTCTGTAAGAAAATCTAGTTCTATATTTAATTAATCACAGTTAGTTCCAAAGTATATGGTATCGTTTAAAAATCCGCGCAATAAACTTCTTTCAATACATTATCGTCTGCAACATATTTTTGATGTACATGAAGTTATATCGATATACAGAAGAAAAGCTATCTTAGTCCGATCTGTCGTACACTCAAGTGTTTATATAACAGTGTTATTTCACAAGGAAAAAAAATCCTACACTTTTCACTAAGTTAAAGTCATTTTTCCAACTGGTGACACATTCATAAATAGAAAACGTAAAATTATCCCTTCTGCTTCGGTAGATTTTATTAATACCCGAGCATCAGTCCCTCTCAAAATGCTCTCAGCGAATGAAATCAGGCGTTGTTTATAGCTTTGGTAAACGCGCAGTTTTATAACGTCACGACTCATTGGTTCGCTGCGGGGAAGCCGCTTTTGATGTTATGTTTTGCGAATAAAGTTCCTTTGAAGATGAAATAACGTATGAAACATATAAAATGCTGTAAAAAAATAAAGGAAAGAAATGTAAAATGCAATCATGTGTACGCGGTGCATACAATGCTCCAAAGTTTCCTGTCATCGCCCGATTTCTGTTTTCATATGGTGTTTTCTCTATTTTTTTTGTAATCCATCTTTTTGTAATTTCGATCAGAATATGTATAACAAATTGAAAATTCATTAAAATTCTGCTAAGCGCTTGAAAGGCATTTGCGAGTATAGGCATTTCATTACACGTAAGATAACTGTCTACCAGTTGGTAAAAAAGGCCACATTAAGCAATGGTCTAAATGTATTTATTTTCCCCAGTTGCAAAAATTAATTATCTTATATAAAAATAAAGTATTTATTCAGGATATTTAATATTTATAGAATGGAAGTTATTATGAATTAAAAAGTTAAATTAAAGACTGCCATACCATATTTGTTGTCTGGTTTTAATTGGAACGTCTTAATTCACCTTGCCGGTCTATTTCTGTACTCTTTTGTTTTTTCATTTTTAAATCATTTAACTTACTATTGCACTGTTCCAGCTGCAAAGTAATGCCAATCTGAAAATGTTTTTGGTTAAATGAAACGTATTAAAACTTAATACAGTTATTTGAAATTTCCATGAAATGTGTCTTTATAATATTATCTTTCAAAGTAACTTAAAGGCTGTCTATAATTCTTTTAGTTTTAGTTTAATAATATTTTATTGCTCTTTGAACACAACTTAAGAACATTATTTCCACAAAACAACATTTTTAACAAAGGGCAAAAGGGTTGACCAACAATTTCTAGAAACATTAGTAACTGTCCTTCCCTTAAGCATTAAAAGATATAGAAAAAACACTATACACATGAGCAATTACAAATATTAAGACGGAAACAAAAACAAAGTAGCAAATACAATTCGACATTAGATTTAAAAGAAAGAAAAATTGCTAATCAATTTCTTAAATATTAAAAAAAATAATTCCTGCACTTGCAGTATGTGATGGTTTGTATGGCTGTCAAAATATGTCATTTATAAAGGGAATTAGAATAATTAAAATTGGAACAATGATTGTTAATTTTACATGTACTTATTTGTTATTATTTAAATCTATGTGTATATTTTATATATAATTCTTTAATGATTACAGTCGAATTTGTAGCAAAAATACCACTGAAGGAATGGGTAAATATGACATTTGTTAACACGTGGAATTTATTCAGGGAATTATTGGTTACGAGTTGTTTTTTTAATTCCCTTTAAAGGCCGTTATTTATTTAAGTAAGAACCTTACTCTCCATGCTTAGTACTGCTTAGTTCAATGTGCGGTGTGTCTATAACCTTATAGCCTCCTATACAATATCGAACTAAAATTAATTTTGTATAAACTAAACATTTGATCAATAAAGTAAAAATCTAAAAGACGAGGAATTGCACGCGACGTGACGTAATCGCATTATCTCCGCAGCAGTACACGTATTTAGATAACGTTAATTTCGAGACTTGTACACAGTTAAAAACTTGAATTGAGCAGCGTCACGACAAAACAAACATAATGGGTTTGCGACCAGCATGGATCCAGACTAGCCTGCGCATCCGCGCAGTCTGATCAGGATCCATGCTGTTCGCTATCAGTTTCTCTACTTGTAATAGAGTTGGTAAGCGAACAGCATGGATCCTAATCAGACTGCGCGGATGCGCAGGCTGGTCTGGATCCATGCTGGTCGCAAACCCATTATGTTGGTTTTGTCGTGACGCGGCTCAGTTTTCACTGTAGTCCGATTCTAACTTTAATTCACTAAAACATTGCAACTAACGCGTGCATAAATTCATCAACACTTCTATTTTTTAAAGAAGTCCCCGCAAATTTCGAATAATTTTCTCGCGAGTAAGTTTTGTTATGATTTTATCAACAAATATTGTAGCTGTTTTTTGCAGATAAAACTTCCGCTGTATTACGTGTGAAAGGTTTTAATTGCTTAGAAGCATTCATTTGCTACATTTTATGCGATATTAATACACCCATTACAATTTGTTAAACACAAAAAATACATTTCTTAATTAAGATATTTCATTCTAAAAATCGCTTTGAACTTTTTGATTTTCAACACCGATACGTGGCCATTATCTTATTAGTAAAAAAACCACACGGCGAACAAATGATAAAAAAAGAAGTTATTCATCAATAAGTTATGAGAGAGAAATAAGTTTAAAAGAGTGACAAAATACCACACAAAGTCGCTTCACACACCGACGTGTCGCATTAAAGCGATGCTATGATTATGACGCCTTTAATCATAATTTACGCGACAATGGCCACGTGAATTCTTTACAATAACCCACCCTAATTGATTTCGTTTGAAGTGTCGACAAAACAGATGTTAAATATTCCATTTCAAATGAGGGAAAACCTGTGTACCTATTCATATTCAAATTATCACATATAATTTACTTCTCACTTTTGTAGATAATACCAAACGTACAAAGGCAGACTGAGACAAAAACACAAAAAGACATAAATAGTTTATATGTCTATTTATTTTCCTATAATCGTCCCTCTATTGTATATAAAAAATCTTGCAACATTTCGCTAATTATAGTTTAGTGAACTAATTTATTACTGCGACTCCCAATAACAAATGCAGTCATAAAATATACAAACTATACAATATAATTAAAATTGAGATCAATGGGAATAAAATAACATTTAAAATTAAAATACCTTTAGAAGATTATCGTTTGATGTTGTATTTTACCCAGTACGCTAAGTGCAATATAAGTCTCAAAATAATTTGAAAGACACTGAATAACGACTCCTATATTTTTTATGTTTCGGACAATTCCATTCGCAATTATTAAAGACAATTTCTAATAACCCGGGCAATCTCCCCGTCATTTTTTAATTTTTATAGGGCGAACAATTGCCCTTACGTTGATTTTTTTCTCTATGTTCTTTCATCATGGACAATTCTCCTCTCGTAATTTTGATAGGGCGGACAGTTCCCTTGTCGTAATTTTGATAGGGCGGACAATTCCTCTCCCGTAATTTTGATAGGGCGGACAATTCCTCTCCCGTAATTTTGATAGGATGGACATTTCCCCTCCCGTTCTTTTCTAATTGATGGGAGTGGAATTGTCTTGGAGGGTTTTTGTCTGGTCATGTTTCATGTCAAAGCTTGATTTAACTTGAAACTATAATTTCATAGCTTCGGCTAATTACTCTAATTATGTATTATTTACACCCATACCATTAATCATAATACATGTATTTTTTCCGTTTATCGGCTAAAATATTATGTATCTATGATTAATGCTTATATTAAGATAACATTACTTGATTTGCTTTAAAACTGCATGCCTCCAGATGAGCCAAAATATTTCAAGAAATTCAACTTTGAGAAAATGTAAAGTAATAATATTAACAATTTAATAAATAATCATCTTGTTATAATCATGGAGCTTTATATTAAAACTTTATCTGTAATATAAGTCCCTAGTAATATGCAATTTATGACTGATTTTGTTGCATTAATCATCATATTTTTACTGCGTGACTAACAGCTATTTTTGAATATTCAAGCCTATTTTTTGGTAATATCGTAGATATCAAAGGCCTTTATGGCAATATTTTAATTCTCAATACATTTATAAGATTGTCATGAAAATTAACATGAATCTGAAGGCATGCTACTTTTATTCTTATATAAAATACTAATGTGATGTACTTTAACACGTGCAGTCGCTTGAGAGGGGAGACAATCAATACACACATGTAGGATATCATTTTGAAGAAGATCGCAAGATTTACGTACCTTTAGTGGAGTACCGATATGCACAACAGTTACTATGAGCCAAAATATTTCAAGAAAATCAAACTTTGGAAAAAATGTAGTCAGATTTTATCAAAGTAAAAAGATTCAAGATTTAAATCTTTACGTATTTTGTGCAATTATTTTGTTGTATAGTATTAAAAAAGGTTTAAAAAAACACACACTAAAAATGTATTTTACCCTTAACCCATTACTTCATGAGCATTTTGTGAAAAATGGCTGTTTTCATTGAAAAGTCTCCCGTTACAAGTTCAAATTGCTATAATACTATAAAAACTGCTTCAACACTAATCAAACTTGGCACAAATGTTGACTGGACCATTGCCCTTGCAACAACATGCTCAGGCTTAAATTTTCTGTTACCATGGCAACGAGGGGACATCTCAAAATTGCCAAAAATCACTATTTTGCGTTGATTTTTTCCATCAAAATTGATTTCAAAGTGCTGCAACTTCTCAATGGATTGAGATAGAGTCAAATGCTTTTCAGCGTTGGTTACACTTTACCTTATGATCAATCTGGGGTCATTTACAGCCTCTCACAAGTCCAAAATTTTCTTGGCGATGAGGGGGACTCCGCCCCCCTTCAAACCCCCCCCAAACAGAAGGGGGCACAACCCCCTTCTGGCAACCCCCTGATGTATCTTTTGGCTGGGGGGCCGCGCCGAAAAAGAGGTCATTTTTTTTAACAACATTTCTCAAACAAAAACAAGTGTTTGGGGCCTAAATAAGGCATTTTTTCATCATTTGAGACAACAAAAGGGGGGGGGGGGGGTTGAAAAAGGCGTTAAAAGGCGTCTATATGAAGTAATGGGTTAAGCTAGTTCAAGGAAATATGTATGAATAAAAATAGGCATGTTACAGTTTCCTCCCAAGGCATGCAGTCAGGTCTGTATGAAAGTCTTCAAAATGGGCATTTATATATTCAGATCTGAAAAAAAGGTCATTTATGGGACTTTAATGGATTTGTCTACAACAGCTACTTTTCCTTTGAATCATACAAGCTAAAAATCACTTAGAACAACATGTGTCTTAATCTAGTTACAATGGTGACTCAAATGTTAAACATTACTTAATTCTAAAATTCATCTAAAATGTGAAA